TTAAGTAATATAAATAACCTTAAATCAAATTAAAATTGAGTTTAGATACATATCTAAAGAAAATCTTACAACTCTTCTTGTCTTGGGTCACAATGCTATAAAACTTCCATATTCTCACTTCGCAAGCTTTGGCATCTTATCTCTAATGATAAGAAAATATCTCACTCACCCTATCCTACATTTATTAGTATTTCATATATTTAGTGTTTAACATATTTATTAAACAGTTCCAATGTTTATGAATTAAATTAATGCATTGAAAAAACGAAACTCGCAACAACACACCAGAAGTGATCTAGTGTATTATAACTTTTTATACAGAAGAATATTCAATAAAATAATACATTAGACATATGTAGTTTTCGAATTGGATTTGGAAGGTTTTTCAATCATTTGATTTGCCAATTCATACTGCAACTGTGGTTCAAACTTTCATTAAAAAAAAGGGGTAATTATTACGTACCTTTAAATTTTCTTTTTTTTTTTTTTCATGAAAATAGGATAAACGTGTTTTTAAGTCAACAAGCCTACCATTAGCAAGATGGGCTTGAACAAATAATGATGTTTTAATCCAAGGTTTAGTCTTTCTCGGCCAGAAGTTTAAAATCCAATTTTAGTGACAAAAAATAAAGGTCTGACTCCTAGATGAATAAATATTTTATTTTATAAGATTTTTTATTCAAAAGAAGTATAAAAATATATTTATTATTAATTTAAGGATTATTATCTAATACATCACTAGTAAAATTTTTTTAACAATATTTTTTATGATATTTTTGGTGTCTTAGGCGGAGGATGTTGGTAAAAAATTATTGGAGGTATGATTGTCCAAATCTGCAGTCAATTCATTGGATATAAATGACACGGCAACTAGGTGTGCACTACCTAGGTGACCCAAGGAGTTGACCATGTTAACCAAAGGTTAAACAAATATAAAAATTAATTTAGCAATGAATAAATATATTTATTAATTTAATAATTTAATTACCTTTTATTATAAAATAAATAAAATATTACTAATATTTTATAAATTATTATTTTTAAATAATATTATAATTATTAATTTTTTAACTATTATAATATACATGATAATTTTAGTATTTTTAAATAAAATAATATTTGATTTTTACTAATACCAAATATATTAATTTTTAATTCTTAAGAATTAAAGATTGTTAATTAAACAAATTAATTTTAAATCATGAGTAATAAAATTATCTTGATAATAAAATTACCTCGATAATTATATTACCATAATAATCTAATAAAAATTCTAAATGCTACCTTAATGTTTTTGTTTATTGTTGGATTGAGTTCATGTTTAAAGGATTAGGTTACCTTAGATGTCTGTGGAATTGTATTTTGATGAAGCATCAATAATATCAATTTTCTTTTGAAAAAAAAAAAAGTGAGGTACTCTTCAACAGCGTTTTAAAAATCGAATTGGTAACAATACATGGATGAAATTGACTATTCTTGATTCAATCAATTTATTTATTATTATTTTCAACATTGAGGTTATCCTTAAAATACGTATAATACAGTATTATGTTGAAAGTTGACGTTTTGTTTGGTGAACCCTCCCATAAGAAAAAAAAAAAGATGAATCCTTAATGTTAATAAATATTAATAAATTAAGGCCAATTAACACATTCTTAACTATTGCTTTGATCGATTTATTTCAAGTTTTGATCAAATTGGACTACAAATGGTTCCAAAATATGTTTTTGATTCGACAAATTACTAGTTCCTTAGTCTGAAAACATTATTATTGTTCTCTTAGCATAAAAAAGTACAAAATAAGTGTATAGAAAGAAAATAATATACGGTTAAGGGGACTAAATTATGTAAATATTATTAATATTTGAATTATTGTTTTATGCATTAACACTGTAATTTTAAAAATTTACAAATAAAATTAAAATGTTTCAAATCTATTTAGTTATTATATTAATTTGTAGTTTATATTTGATATATTATTAATGTATATATTTTATATATTATCAATAAATAAAAACATATTACTTTGTTAATAAAACGAATCAAATGATGTTATCTTATTAATGAATAGATTTAAAAAAAAATTAAAATTTTTTTTATCTATTTTAATAATTAATATTTTTTTATTCATATAATATTATTATTTAATTTACGAATAATACATAAATACGTTAATAATACATCAAATATAAATTTTAATTTATTAATTTTAAATGTAATTTAATAAAACATATATCAAACCTCTAACTCTATTTATGTTTTAAAATTTTCACCAGTTAACAACAAAGCAAAGGAATTGTATTTTTTTTTTTCAATATTTCATGTTACAATTTCAAAATGGTTAATTACATATTTAGTGTTCAGATTGTAATTAAATTCTTAATTTGATTTTTGAAATTTAAAATTTTATAATTAAGTATTCAAACTTTATTCTATTTATCATACACTTAGACTATTATCATTAATTAAATGGATGATGTATTTAATACATTCAATAGATTTACGATAGTAATATAATTAATAATATTTTGAGACACATGATATGAATGCTTTTTGTTGTTGTTTTTGGAAAAAAAATCATATGTTTAACTAATAATATTAATTTCATGTGTAAAATAAAAGCAAAGTTTGAATATCAAATTGCAAACATTTAAATTTTCAATACCAAATCAAAATTTAACTATAATTTAAATACCAAATATGTAATTAATCCATTTCTAATCCCATTTCATAAGAAGGTCGGTATTGCACCCCACGGATACATCAAATGCCAATAACATAGGGCTTTATCAACATCAACAGTCTCCATCGCCTAAGAATCTGTAAGATTAGCGGCCATTATTCTAACTGACACCATGACGGAACTCTTTGGGTTACACGCAAGAATCTCCCTTTTTTTTTCTAGTTTATGAAAATAATTATTAATAATATATTTTCTTTCAGCCCGTTTTTGGTCAACTGGGGCGGCTGCAAAGTTTTCCATTTAACCGCATATTTTTTCAGCTAAACCTAGCAAATAATACTGTAATCTTCAGTCTTCTCCTCTGCAAACAACTTTATTTATTCCCATGAAAGGCCGGGCATGGGCAGCCTTTTTTTTCATCTAATTATCCGTAAGTGGGTAAGATCAGGTTTGGGTGCGATTTATCTCTCGGATCACTTGATATCAAAAAAAAAAAAAAGCATACTATCTAAGACGGCGTTTGTATACAGTACGCTATAGAAAGCCTGAAGAAAATATTAAAGTTGAGGTTCGATTTTTTTTTGTACGATTTTATTTTTTTTAAATAAAAAAATTAATAAATTTAAATATTAAATTTAATAAAATTTATTTATTATAAATTTATTATTAAAATTTTTAATCATAATTATAATAATTTTTAATTATAACTATAATAATTTTTATTAATATTTTTAATCTTATCAAAATCATTTTCATTACTCGTCTAAATAAAATTTAAATCTAATGGTAGTCACCATTCACCTCTATTGCTTTTACCCCAAGTGCATTAGACTTATATATTTTTTTTATAATTCTAATCATGGTAAAAAGTTTATATGATTATTCATAATTTATAAATATAAATTTTATATAAAATTTTATAATTTTAATATATTAGTTAATAAATTTATAATTAAAATATTATATTATAGATTTTTAAATTTTAAATATCATATTAAATATTTTATTATAATTTAAAGATATATTAACTCTAATAAAAAATAAAAAATTTCATAATATATAAATTCATTAACCATAGTGGATTTATCTGGTTTAAATCAAAAAATTGTTTAATGATGTATTTCCTGCATGATTAGAATTACACAAACATGTAAATAAAAAGTATTCCATAAATATTTTTTATTTAAATTAATTTTTTAAATTAAATAAATAAATTTAAAAGTGATTGGAAAATCATGTACTTAGTCAAAGATTATTTTTTTATTTTTTTGTCCAAAAAAATTTCAAACATTTTTTTTTCTTTTCTTTGGCCAATATTCTGAAGACTATGTCTAATTTAATGATTAATATATCATTTAATTTTCTTAATTACTTTATGTTTATTAATTATTATTAAATCTCACCGGAAAGAATAGGATATATCCTATATTAGGAAAAATGATGGAGAGTCCAAAATTTCTCATACGATGTTGGTGCGTCATGCTTTTTTGGCCCCTTTGTGATTTGACTCCACAATCAACCAAAATTGACTAATGCCTTTGGAGTCCGCCCTTCGTACGCTTAAAAGCCCAAGACCCCATTTAATTCCTCTCATTGGCGGACTCCATTCCTCTTTGTAAATCCCAGTTCAATCCCCTTCTCGCGCACGCCAGCGCTTTCACCGGCACCTCCAGTCACCTGTCCGCCCTTTACAACCGATCACCCCTTTCTACTTCCCCAACCGGTTCTCAGTGGCGTTCACACAATTTTTTGCCTAATTGACATTAATGAGGTGTCAGAAGCATATTGGTAGTGAAAGGGATCTGGATGGCTCTTTGGGAAGACCTCAAGGATATTTAAGGGAAAATACCAGATTTCTTTACATTTCAATAGCCAATGAAACGGTGCCAGCTCAGGTTTTCTTCGAATTCTCCCGTAGGAAACGTTGCAGTGGACTCCTTTTTCGAAAATTTAACCGTTATGTAAGGTGAATTTAGGTTGAATTTCTAAGGAATTTGACCCAAGGACAAGGTTAAATCATTACACAATAACTTCGGTTGTCTGTCAAAGGGGTTGTCCTAGTTAAAACTCCAAAAGCCAATCAATTCACGCCACCCCAAAAATAGGAAAATCTCAGGCTTTTTAAATGACAAAAATAGCCTTAATTTTTATTTTTAATGACTTGCCTTACTGATGGAAATGACGCGTTACTATTTGATTGGTCAGGTGCATTGTTCGAAGCTATACTCACAATAACGTCATTCAGTGCGTTGGCCTTTTTAAAAAAAAAATAAATCTTTTTTCTCTTTCCTTTCATTTTATCTAAAAAAAAGTAAAGAAATCCTTCAAATTTTTAATGGGGTTCTTTTTTTTTTTTTTTTAATTGTTTTGGGTTTTTGTATTTTTTCATGAAAGAATAAGCAAGCAGTAACATAGGAAATAGAGATGAGAAGAAGAAGAAGAACCCAGCTGTTCCTTTTCTCAAAGCTCTCTTCCTCACTTAAACCTCCCCAAAAAAACACAAAAATCTAATTAAACATCAAAATTTTTTCTTCACTTTGGAAGCTACTTCTCAAAGACCCTTTTTTTTTTCAAGTAGATCTGTACGGACCTCTCCTTTTTATTGGTTTCTTACAACGGAGATGGATTCTTAAACCGGTAAGTATTTTTTTAGTTCAAGTTCTTTTTTTTTTTGCATCGACATAAGCTGTTTTTTTATGTTTCTATGTTGTTTGATGTAATGAGTGGGGTGATCACGCGCAAGAAAGATCTTGTTCACGGGGGCTCATCTGTTTTTGGTTTTTGTTTTCACTTTCTTTTTTAGTTAAAATTTTGATTTTGATTGCTTCAGAATCAGATCTTTTTGCTCTCAGTGATTCTTTTATATTTTTTTTAACAAATTATTACTTTGACTGTGATGACCGTTGAAAGTTTTGATTTAAGATCCTTCAATGATAGTATAGTGAGTGTTTTATTTTTTTTAAAATTATTTTTACTGAAGTTTATGTTTTTGATCTTTTTCTTTTATATTAATTTTTGGTTACTGGGAAAAACTGAATGAAAGTAAAGAAAGAAAATGGAAGAGAATCAATATTCTTTTGTTTGATTTTCTTATGTTTAGAAAAAGCCTCAAAATTTTTTTCTTACTCTGTATTTTTTTCGGCAGCCAACAAATAATTATTTTCGTTTTTCTTGCTAGTTCCTGCCTTTAGCTAAAACCCTATATTTTATTCTTAAAACTGTAATTTCCTTCAATAATAATAATAATAATAATAATAATAATAATAATAATCCCTTCATTTTTAAATTTTTTTTAGTAAGATTCATGTTTGGTTCTAGGCAATTATGTCTGAAAGTGAAGGAAAATATGTTGTAATTTAATTTTCTTTCATAATAAAAATAATTTAGTTTTCCCTGGAGTATGCTTATCTTTTTCTTCCCCCTGTGATGATCTCTTGGAATATTTGGTTTGTTTTGTACTAATTTTTTTTGCTTGTTGTTTCCAATAATATCACATGGAATATTTCATCATATATATGAAGTTGACGTTTTTCCACAGGTTGATTCTAATGGGTGCTGTTTCTAAATCTCAGTTGGATTCCTATCAAATGAAAGCATGTGCACTGGATTGGAGCGGTTAAAGCACACACCGTCTCCAACAACATCTAATATTTCTTTTGAAAATAGAAGAAATCCTAGCGTAGATATGAATCACTTGACTGTAGAGACTGAAGATACTTTTGCTAGCTTGCTTGTGCTTGCTGCTAATAATGATTTTGAGGGCTTTAAAGGATCCATTGAGCGTGATCCTTCTGGTGTTGATGAGGTTGGGCTGTGGTATGGTCGTCAGAAGGGCTCGAAGCAGATGGTTAATGAGGAGAGAACCCCTTTGATGGTTGCTGCTACGTATGGGAGCATCGATGTTATTAAACTGATCCTTTCTTTGTCGGATGCTGATGTTAATCGCGTGTGTGGCCATGACAAAAGCACTGCCCTTCATTGTGCTGCCTCAGGTGGGGCTGTGAATGCTATTGATGTTGTGAAGCTGCTTTTAGCAGCTGGTGCTGATGCAAATATGGCTGATGCCAATGGTCATCATCCCGTTGATGTTATTGTTGTTCCTCCGAAGCTTCAAGCTCTAAAATTAACTCTTGAAGAACTTCTTGCTACTGAGAGTTCTGTTATTGAACGCAATTTAAGGGTGTCAACAGCAGTTGCAAATTCCAACTCCCCCCCTCTATCATCTTTTCTGGAAAACGGGTCACCATCATCTGGTTCAGATTACCCAATGAAGTCAAAGTCAACCGATCCTCCTATTTCTTATACATCAGAGAAGAAAGAATACCCAATAGATCCATCTCTTCCAGACATCAAGAACAGCATCTATTCCACTGATGAGTTCCGGATGTATTCATTCAAGGTGCGCCCTTGTTCCCGTGCCTATTCCCATGATTGGACAGAATGTCCCTTTGTTCACCCAGGGGAGAATGCTCGAAGAAGGGATCCTAGGAAGTTTCATTACAGCTGTGTTCCTTGCCCTGATTTTCGCAAGGGGGCATGTAGGCGTGGAGATATGTGTGAATATGCTCATGGTGTTTTTGAATGCTGGCTACACCCTGCTCAATATCGAACCCGGCTGTGCAAGGATGGTACTAATTGTGCAAGGAGAGTCTGCTTTTTTGCTCATGCTGCTGAGGAACTCCGACCCCTGTTTGTCTCCACTGGTTCTGCTGTTCTATCTCCACGGTCAAGCACTGCTGGTGCTACAGCCATGGATTTTGCTGCCGCCTTGAGCCTCATGCCTGGATCACCTTCATCTCTATCCGTTATTTCTCCATCACCATTCACACCACCCATGTCTCCATCTGCGAATGGCATGTCTCATTCTAATGTTGCCTGGCCACAGCCTAATGTTCCAGCCCTGCATCTTCCAGGAAGCAATCTTCAATCTAGTCGCCTGAGATCTTCTCTTAATGCAAGAGACATTCCAGCTGAAGACTTCAACTTGTTGTCGGATTTTGATGTGCAGCAACAACAGTTGATAAATGAGTTATCTAGCGTCACTCAGCCATCTCTGAGTTCTAATTCTTTGAATCGATCTGGTCGGTTGAAGACCCTGACCCCATCAAATCTTGATGATCTCTTTTCTGCTGAGAGCTCATCTCCGCGGTATTCTGATCAATCGTTGGCTTCAGCCGTTTTCTCTCCAACCCATAAGTCTGCTGTTCTCAATCAATTTCAGCAGCAGCAAACCATGCTATCACCTATCAATACAAAATTTTCTCCTAAAAATATTGAGCATCCTCTATTGCAGGCTTCTTTATCTGGTAGGATGTCTCCTCGAAATGTGGAACTTATCTCACCAATGAGCTCTCGAGTTTCAATGTTAGCTCAACATGAGAAGCAACAACAATTTCGTAGCCTAAGCTCTAGGGAGCTTGGCTCTGGCTCTGCTGCCATTGTCGGTTGCCCGGTAAATTCTTGGTCAAAATGGGGATCCTCCAATGGGAAGCCAGACTGGGCTGTCAATGCAGATGAATTAGGCAAGCATCGCAGGTCATCTTCATTTGAGCTTGGCAATGGAGATGAGCCTGATTTTTCTTGGGTTCAATCCCTTGTTAAAGAATCTCCCACTGAGATCAAAGAGAAAATGGCAGCGCCTGTCTCGAGTGTTGCACCGAATGCTTCTGCAAGTGAGGGTTCTAATATGAACTCTCAAATTGATCCAGTTGATCATGCTATGTTGGGAGCATGGCTTGAGCAAATGCAGCTTGATCAGCTTGTGGCTCAGCAGAACTGAAACCAGTTTGACTGAGCCCTGAGGTAGAGACAACAAAAAGGTTTTGGTAAATAACATTTGTATTTTTTGGGATTTTGTTGATGAATATGGAAGGAAGGTAAACAGGAACACAAGGTGCAGGCAAGAAAGAAGGTCAGTTGACAAGGGAAATTCATTTTTCACCATTTATTATTACAACAAAAACAGTTAGAAAAGGGTTGAGATAACCTCTGGGTTATGTTTAAAGAAATTACGCCCAGGCTAGGTGTTTTTTCTTGCAATATTTCGAAATTAGATTTCTATTTTGTTCGGCCTTTTTTCTTATGATGAGCTGCTTTGTTCATGACAATGAAACCAAAATATTATGTTTCCTGATATCCTTTTACTGTTACATTCATTATCACCTTTGTGAGAAATCAAATGAAGATGGATCATGAAGTTCTTCTGATCTCAACTCTCAAGAGTTTGATGGTTTTATCAGGTTTTGGTCAAAATTCTTTGGAGAGACTATAAGACAGGAAAATTTGTTTCTTCTGATGTAGTATTGGAATCAATAATCTGTTGGTGCCTGTAATGTGGACGAACAGGGTTGGAGAAAACTATGATCCTTTGATGATGATGATGATGATGATGATGTAAAATTCAACTATAGTTTATTGCTTATTACTATTCCAAATACCTTAATTTTATTGTTAGTTTGTTACCATATGCTTATCTATTTGTCTTTTATTTCATTATTGTGTTAAAACTTTTTAATCTTATCTCATTGGTATTGGTGGCATGGAAGAAGTCGGTAGAGGGTTGGATTCTATAAATCCCAGTTGTGGGATCTCAGGATTTGTGTGGGAAAAAGTAAAGGCATTTTTATAATTGATTCTTAAATCTGAACTTGGAAGATCTGATGCGATGTTACTTTTTATTAGTGCATAGGGTTGTGACTTTATGCCAAAGTACTAATATTGTTCTTCAATTTATTTACCTTCAATTTCATGTGAGTGTCAGGTGACTGGACGTTTCTTTTTAAATTCCCACTAGGGATGTCAATCCGTGGGGCCGAGGTGGGTAAAGTATTTTTTATTTTTATTTTTGGATTTTTATATTAAATTTATCTATATATCGAATGCCTATTTTAAATTTATCATTTTTATCTTTGTGGATATTTAATAAATATTGATAATTTTTATAATTCATAATTTTTTTTTAAAATAAAAATAAAAATATATTTAAATAATTTTTTATAAATATATATTAATATATTTTTTAATAAAAATATATTAATTTTAATTAATTTAAAATAATAATTTATATTATTTAATAAAAAATTATTTATTAAATATATATAAATAAATATATATATATATATGTAGTGTATAAGTACAAGGCATATGTTATATGACTCATTTTTATATCCATTTTTATATTCATAATATAATATTTATTTTTAATTTTATTTGAATAAAAAATAAATTACTCATTGGATATAGGTAATATTTACATCTCTTATTCTAAAAAAAAAAAAAAAACTTAAATATGATCTATGGAAGTGTAGATGCAAATATTGTTATCAAATTTCCCTTTTTGTACAAGAGGGAGGGGTTTAGCTAAATTTTAGAATCATTCAGAAAGTTAAATTGCTTTCGGAAATATGGTTCTTTCCTAATCACTTTGCATTTAAAAAAATTGTATAAAATAGTTTTCCATGTTAATATATATATTTTATTTAAATTATATCATGTAATCACATTAATAAGAAAATTAATCATTTATTACATTTCATATGTGCTAACTAAATGATATATATTTATTTTAAAAGATTTATGCATTCGATATATAATAAATAGTTGACTTTTCTATTAATACGATTATGTACTTTGAATGAAAAAGTCGTATGTTAACATAAAATAACTGTTTATATGATCATAGATTTCGGGTAGCATCAATGAGCCAATTGTAGTATTTTTTATGGATAGAATTGCCGAGATAGCCCTGATGTTGTAATGGATAATATTTTTGCTTTCTTTTTTGGGTTACATACGACTCTTAGTTACAAAATGAGGTAATTTCCTTTTTTCATAGAACTTATCTTGATACATTTCAAGATTGGAACCAATACTTAAGATGAGTATCAAATTTTAAATGTTAATTTTTTGTTCGATAAGATATGATTTTTGAAAACAAAAATTCAAACTTAATTCTTTGAACCAAAGATATATGTATTTTTTATTGGACAAAATATACAAATGCTAAGTAAAGTTAAAACTTATAGTGAGGATCTTTGTCTTGGAGACCACATATTGAAAAATAAAGAATTCAAAATTTAACTTAATTGATATATATAATTATCATAAAAAATGATATTTAATAAATTTAATATTTAAATTTTTTTAAATTTTTAGATTGCATTCTCTTTTGTAAAAATAAATAGATGAGCTTGTTCTATACAAGTTATTAATTGTTGAGAAATTATTTGAAATTGATGATATTGTAGATACTTCATTTTATCCATAAATTTTCTAGAATGAAAAATGGGCTTTCAATCGTAAAATTGGGCTCAATTGAAAAACTTTTGGCTCAATAGAAAAATCTTTAATTTAATTTAATTTTTTTTATTTATTTATTTTTTAATTTTATTTGTTTAAAAAATAGTCAACAAAACAAAAAAAAAATCCAAAGTTCCATAAAAAAAAATTCAAAATCAGAAATTTTTGGAAATTCAAAAATCATGATTGTTTGAAATTGGAAACAAAATCAATTGGAAAACCAAGAGTTAAGCCATCTTTTGGATCAAATTTGTTCAATGATAGATTCAATCCTTCTTAAAATCTCTAAAAATCTATTAAAAAAAACTTTATAAATCTCCATCAAGCACATAAAGAATTTAGGTTTTTTTTTTTTTTTGTTTCTAGAAATTTTGGGGGGAGTCAATTGGATGGTGGAAATTTTCTAGGTGGAAGGCTAGGGTTTTTCTATTCTGTGGTTTCTAGAAAATAGGAAAAAAATAAAAAAACTTTGATTCATTCTGGGTTTTATGGATTTGTGTTGTTTAAATAGATTCTTATGGGATTTTAGGATGGATTTGGTGATTTTGATTCTGGGCCTTGATTTTTGGTAAGCAATTTTGGTTTTGAGATTTTATGGTGGATTGAAGTTTTTGGTGAAAATTTTGGGGAAATTTGAATTTTTTTTCTTCTTGGAAGTTTCCAATGTTGTTTGATTTTTTTTTAGAAATATAGAAATATTGGGAAAAAAATTAAATTTTTTGGGTTTTTTTATTTGAATTTATGGGAAAAAACTAGGTTTTTTTGGGTTTTTTTTTTTATGAATTTTCTAGTGAGGTTATGAAGTTTTTGACGGGGTACACGACAGGCAAAGGGCTTTATAGTGGTTAAGATTTGGGTTTTGGAAGATTTCTAGAAAGGTTTCAAGCTTTTGGTGGTTGGTTAAATTTTTTAACACTAGAAACTGGGTTCATCTTGATCGATTGAAGTTTCCAACATGTTATTTTAAAGAGAGGCGAGAACATTTTTTTAGAGAGGTAGAGCTAGGGTCAGTCTAAAGGAAAACAAAGGATTTTTTGCTTATATAGCGTAACCAAAATGGCACTGTTTTGGAGAAGACCTTTGACCCGTTAAATAGCGCGTGACCCGCGTGTCTACTCGCCTTCGGATTTGACTCATTTCGCAGGTAATTTCTTTTTCTTTTCCACTTCATTTTTTGTTTTTATTTTTATTTTATTTTGTTTATTATTATTATTATTATTTTATTATTATTATTATACTCATTATCTTAACTTAAATAGTTTATATTATTATTTTTTAATGCCTTTATTTTATTCATTTGCTTATAAAAAATAACCAAAAAATGTTTCCAAATTAAGTTCATGAATCTTACCAAATTATAGAAAGATTTTTCGTGAATTTAAATTTTTACCAAACTATTGGAGAATATCATAAATTAAATTCTTTTACAAAAGAAATTTATAAAATATTTTGTTTTAATCCTATTAAATTATTAGAGGATTTGCATCTAAAATTAAATCTTACCAAACTATTAAAATTTTTAATGCATTTTCTAAAAATAATTTTACAATAAAATCTCATCAAACTCTTAAAAGATCTGCATCAAAGTAAATTTTACCAAACTATTAAAGGATTTTACTGATTATTTTATAAATAAAATATATTAACGAATTTGATGATAAAGCCTCTTTAGAGTAGATCATGAATACTTATGAGGTAAGAGAATTATATTAAATTGTTATCAAACTATTAGAGTAATTTTAAAATCAATTTTCAATATTAAATATTTTGATAAATTATAAATATCATGAAGGCTTGGAAAACCTAAAATCAAATTGATAGCATTTTTTAGATAGGTGCTATGAGGGTGCTATAACCTTTTTCACACGTAATTGCACTTTCAAACCTAAAATTTGTTTTCGTATACTAGAATTTACTATTTAAAGATACCTAAGTCAATCTTGAGACTCATCTTTAAAATGGGACAGATTTAGTTAGTTGGCCAATAACACTTAAACAAAAAAGATTAGTGGCGACTCTTTTAAGTCTATGTCTAGTGATGAGTCTATGAATTTATATGTTATGACAGTTTGGCGACTCTTCTTGGGACATTGAGGTCAGTCCAGTAAATGATTTCTTGTTATCCAAGCTTAATAAATTTAAAATTTTTTCCTTATTTGTATTTTATTTATTTATTTATTTATTATATATATATATCATTCACATACACATGTATAACATAAGCTCTACACTTGAGTTCTATCCCTTATAAGGGAGTAAAGTACCTACGCCTTTGTGAGATTTCATGTCTTCACATAAGCTAGCGAAAATCTCACTCAAATTGAATCTTTTTTGTTTGTAGCCTATAATGAGTGAGAAATGTGGTGCCTTTTTTGTCTATAATAAATAATGATATAAGAAATAATTTGAAAACCCTTAGATTGTCAAACTTTTGAACTTAGCATGTAAATAAAACCCTAAAGGTTTGAACTCAAGTTAGAGCCATACCTTCCCTTTTGTTAAAAAATCTTAAATATGATACATGATGGGACATTTATTTTGCTTGTAAATTTATATATTTTCTTTATATATATTATTTGCATACTAACCCTTTACATTTTTTTTTATATATTATATTGTTCTTTGTATATATCATGTTTACAACCTCTTTTCTTTTATTGTATATACATGTATTCACATCATTAAATCTTTCTTATTGCATTCATGGATTTTTGCATTCAATCTTATGTATAATTAGATGGTTCCATAAATATCACTCTAAATATGCACCCTAATTGTGGTACAGCAAGGTTCAAGGATAACTTGACCAACTCACCACTAGTGTAACACTCGAGCCTAAGCTAAAATAATGGAGCAAGACAATACAAACCGCATTAAGAAGTTAAAAAGGGCCAAAGAAAAGCTCAAAGAGGAGTTGAACAAAATTTTAGAAAAACTAAACAAGTTGAACAAAGGGAAAAGTATAGAAGAAAGGGCTAAACCTAAAGACCATCTATTGCAGGATATTGTTGAACCTTTGTATCTTCCTGGCTATAGCCCATATCAGGCCCAATCCACTCAAGGTACATCACCACAATAGTTCACATTTCCTGCAGGATACACTTACATAAGAAAGCCATCACACCAACTCAAGGGTAATTTCAAAGTTTTGCTAATCTTGTCTACACTAAAAAGGTAATAGAGTCAATCTCGAT